TTTGGCGTGGGGTTATGCAGGAAAATAAATAAAATAAATACAAGAATCGGTGCAGCACCACTGCCTAATGGTGTCTCCATGGCAACTAAGGGAGCAAGGCCCTGCGATGCGGTGTCAAACAAACACAGCATTTTAAACCTTAAAATAAATTAGGTTTTTCACCATTAGTAATACGCAGAGGCATTACCATTATGTGCTGGTGGGTGGGATGGGGTCGATTAAAAAGCAGCTGTGCACATTTTTACACATTCAACATACTTTTGGTTCAGGATATCACTTTTACTAACAGCGCATACTATTTACTATGGAGAATGCAGATTGTGCTTCATACTTTACTATTTTAACTAACCCTTAACATCCAGCCACAAAGTCAGCATGAGGAAGAGGAGGTTGGGGGCAGACAGATGGGTCAATTAAATGTTGGACTAGCCACAGGAGATTGAGTAGGTTTCTTATTTCCAACAAACGGTCAATGTTGGTTATTTTAACTTTAATTCAAACCCACAATCTTTCCCTAAAACCAACAAGTTAGTTTTGCGCCTAAACCTGACCAAATCTTAATCGTAGCGGCATAAGATCAGAAAATGGTTTGTTTGTAAAATGGCAATGTCACCCTTTGTTGCTTTCCAAGTTAGCTATTTTGTTCAATTACATTTATGAGAATGTGAAATGGCCAACGGTATCTGCTGCTTCCTACATTTTGTTGGATGTTTAAGAGTTAATATTGAGAACTGACTCGACTCTGTCTCTGTGGGAATTCCTATGAGACTTAAAACAGGGCAGAATAGTTTGCCTTGTCATAACCCTTCTTAAAACAAAGTGACGCATCTCAAGGGGTTTTGGCTGTAAACAATACAAACACTTCATAGTATTACTCATATTTGCATTATTTTTGTTTGACGTATAAAAAGCTCCACATACTACACAGACACAACTATATTGCAGGAAAAAAAAAATTGCAATTCCACACACACACACACACACACACACACATGCTCAATACACAACAGCACAGGGTGGGAAAGGCGGTGTGCCAGAGCACACAACAGTTTATCATCCTGTGACTTGGTGCATCAGAGGCGTGAAGGTGTGTCAGCAAACTGCTGGTGGAGGTAAAGGGAAAATGCATCACGGCTGGTGAAGCTTATTCAGGTGGAACTTTTAAGAAGAGGGCCCGAGCGGCGCTTTCAAGTAGCGAAGAAGAGGTGATTCTGTTTCAGTCCTTTGGCTTTAATGCTTTACCTGTGGCTCAGAGGCTGAGCTCTGGCACCGGCTTCAGGCTGCAGTGCAACCTATTGACAGCCAGTGAGAGAGGGCAGGAAAAAAAAAGGGTGAAGCAGGGAGAAAGAGGGAGAAAAGGGCAAGAGAGAGTGTGTTGGTGTGTGACACACACGGACACAGAATGAGAGAGGGTCAGAGGGATGCTGAGAATAGAGAGCTTCTTTCTTTTGGATTTCTTTTGGGTTCAGTTCAAGATTCCCCACCGGGGGAGAGGCCTAAACTGAAGAGGCGACTGAGGCGTCCCACATGTTTGCTTGTGTGTGTGTGTGTGTGTGTGTGTGTGTGTGTTCGTGTGTGTTTTTCCAGAAGCAGAAGAGTTGATGGAGTCGGTTGGACACCGATTGGATTCAAAACCATTATCCCAGCAGACCAATTGTGCACCTAAAGTTGTTCACGCCTCAACCAAACACAGACACGCTCAAATGAACGCACACGTTTGGAGCACCTGACTGACCAGTGACTTCATTTAAAAAGCCAGGCCACCGCCTGCGTGTCCCACAACAGTTGTGCACATCCTATCCAGAGCTGTGGAACACCATCCCCGTCTCCAAATAAATACCCTGCCATAGCTCTCATCCATGTCAGCTGCTGAAACGGTGATCCATGACAAATTAAACTCGTCCAAATTAAGCCGTCAGCCATTTTCCAGCTCATTCTCCGTTTCATCCAAACGCATTCCTTCGCCGTAAAGTTTTCTCAAGGCTGCACGGCAACAGATGCGAGTCTCTCCGTGGACTGTCGGTAACCATTTTTCAGAGACACGTCACTGTCAGTCCAGCAGCTGGTCCCTGTTGAACTGTGACAATACACTTCCTTAAGCTGTGCAGATCAACACGAGTGGTCCACAAAGCATGAAATCGTTGCTCTGCAAACATGATTTGTTAGTGTATCCACGCGAACAAACCTGAATCTTAAGAAAACAAACAATATAACCTTTTGAAGAACCCTGGCTTTAAAGATGTGTAACTGCAGGCCTCCTGCACAAATCAAATGAATTGCTCCATGTCATAGTTATTATGGATTGTTCTGTTGTCCTTGCAGTTCATGTAATGATGTAGATTAGTATTGCAATATGCTGATGGCAGTATTCCACACATGGTCTCACAGCTACAGCTACATGTCAAGATGCAGAGGGTTGATAGGCTCGTTTCCTCTGATTTGTTTACGGCTGACGGCTGTTTTCATTGGCTGCGAGCTTCGGGGGTTTGAGCGTCCATGACTTTTGCTGTCGAAAGCTGTGAGTCCTTTGTCCCAGATATCCAATGTGAGCCGCCAAGAAGGCTCAGAAAGGCTCGTCTTCTTCAAAAGCGCTGATGTGTGTGCGTTAACACCGATTCGTTTTTCATTTGCTTCTTGTGGGAATCACCCGATTAATTCAAAAGCATGTAGGCAGAAATGCAGCCAACATGTCGCACAATCACAGCTTACATGTAAAAGTGCCTCAACCTAAGCTAAACATGACACACACACACACACACACACACACACACACACGGGCTATGTTAATCATCTTAAGCAAGCTGTTTGTGCAATCAAACTCAGCAGCCACTCAAGAGTCATTCATCTTGCGTGAAAGTAAAGTGTGACAGCATCATTTTCAACGGGACAACAGCTGTATCTGTCTCGCTCCTGCTTCGCCCTGATCCGCTGTCAGGCTGCCGAGAGAGACAAACCCAACACAGCAAGTGTGTGTGACGAGACAATCTATACCCTGTAATTGTGAGCCAGGTTAATTCATACCGTACGTCTAGATTGCTCAAGTTTGGGGCTTGTTTACAACTGATCAGTACTGTGTGCATACGCCATGTGACCCGAGTCCCGATTCTACTCCAAATGGCACAATAGTCGGCGCGAAGCCAATGTCTGTATCCGTGGCCCCAGCTTGCACTTGAATCAATTAGGAGCTATGCTGTGGAACATGGATTGAAATTCACGGCACTTACCCAGAGCCGTGACACTTAGGGTGGGGTCCTATGCCTCCAGCCCCTTATATTAATGCAACAGCCATGTCTTGCCTATATATGCATGTGAACATGAAGGCGCCAAAACAAGCACTTGCATTAAGTGGGAGGACGCACAGCTAGGTGATATAGTACCCTTCGAGATGGCTGGGATTTAGTGTTCTGGCTCAATGATACTTCAGCAAGACAGATGATTGCTTTTGCTGTGACTTGAACCAGGGCTTCTCTTTGGCTGTATATAGAGCCGACAGTTGAATGGTGCACAATGCAGGATGCATGTATTGGTAAGCCCCTTTGAAAATAAGGCTTGTTACTGTAATTAATGAGCACCACTTGGGAAGGATGGGTGAGCCACAGGAACCGCTGCAGGGGGGGGGGGGGGGTGTCTGTTGCTGAAAACTGGAGATCCCCCGTTCAATTATTACAACTGATTCTTCAGCTTAGATTACTGGTGACACAGTTGTTGTACAAGTACGACAATAACAACACCAGACCCCGGCTATAATTCCCATCGGATAGGTCCACCTGCACCAACACAGCCTGCTGGAGGTTTCTCTGGATTACAAGCATCTGTTCAAACACCATAGGCCGATAGACGAAGAGCCACTCTAACCAAGCCTACGCTGTCTGTGGCTGAGCAACACACTGTCTGCGAGCAGCTTTGGTGGGAGAGAGTCTGCCTGCAGTGCAGCAGTGGACGAGAACGTCCAGAGCATCTCCGCCAACTGGCTGCAGTGGCTCTGTGCTTCACTGAGAAAAGAAACTAGGGATCCCAGGTTGTAAATCGTCACCAAGTCACCACCCGCAGCCAAACGCCACCCCAATACCTGCAGGAGAGGACACTGTGCTGGAGACGAGTGTTTCCCCAAAAGCAAGTGTGTGCTGCTGACGTCACCGACCACAGTCGAGGGATGAGAGACAGTTGATAGTGTTGAAAGGGAAACACTCTCACTCACACACACACACACACACACACACACACACACACACACGACAGTGGAAAACATGCGTGCATGCACACATGCCCTCTCTGCCTCGCACTAAAAGCACTTCATTCACAAAACAAAGCACAAGCCGCAGACTCGGAGCTCAGCCCGGAGAGTTTACATTAGACGCATACATCCGCCCACACTTTTGCATGTACGCACTCACACACACACACAGTGTAGTGTGCCGTCATAGAATCTCTGTTATCATCTGTGCTGTACTGCACTCCACGCTCAGTGCGTATACAGGGTTTCCCTCATGAAAGAAAATATAATAATGCTGCACTTTTCTTTTTTTTAACCCCCCCCCTAAAGAAACACACTCAGAGAGACTTGAATCAACATTAACAGAAGCTACCACCACTCCCCAACACCTAACGGATTTTGGATGACATGAAAATCCCGTAGAGTAAGGGTAAAACACAGATAATCCTGCCTGCATATTTAAAAAAAGCTAACGATGTCAAGTTGCTGCAGTAGGTCAGGATTTATTGCAGAGCTCTTTGGTAAATATGATGGAAGCTCAGCGAGCCCAAGTGGTCTATTATGAAGCACAGATTTGCACACACACACACACACACACACACTATGCCATATGTTGACCGTACCCTACGTAGGACCTGTTTTCGCACAACTTCTGCCAAAATATCACCTCATTAGAACATGCAACCCCCCTTCCCTCAGGGAGAAACAAGCAAAAGACGCTCCTGTGTCACCCCCACCACATCAAACGCAGAATAAAACAAAACATCAAGTCAGGGAAAGAACTTACCTGGCACAGAGTCTAAAAGCAGGAGGTGTCTAAGAGCACAAGCTTCTCTGTCACCCGGAGACGGCAGAACATAACAGAGTCATGTGTGCGAGAGATTGTTGGATTAAACACTTCCCTTCTCTCTTCCCTTCTCTCTCGTCTTGTCCTGTGACTTTCCCCCCCCCCCCCTCACATGTATCCAGGCCCTCTGACGAAGGAACGAAGGCTGGAGACGAAAGGAGGGTTCGGGAGAAATGACAGCGAGATGCTCGGGTCTCCTCCACTGAGACGAGCTGCGAGCGCACGGCGAGGACCATCCACTGCAGCAGAGCAGAGGAGCACGCAGTGAGAGAGGGAGAGGAGAGGAGAGGCAGGCAAAACAGGCATTTGCTGCTGCTGGTTCCAACAGCACGGCTGGAGCAAAAATACGGCACTGGAGTGTGGATCCTGGACTTCTCCAGTTGACTGAGCGTTTACCCGAAACAGATGGGAGAGTTATGGGAGAGGATGGGCGAGAGACAGAGGAGAGCAACAGAGAAACAGATAGTGAGAGGCTTTTTTTGTTTTTGTTGTATTAACATGGCACCAAGCAGACTCCACTATCTCAGTGCCGTTCCTCTCTTGCATGCAATATTTTTTCCCTACTCCTGCACGTTTACCACCAGTCTCCAGATTCTCCCGCGTCCTCATCTAGTGTCGCCGTGGATAAACTATAAAACTCACATCACATCAAGAGCCACTTTTCATTTTTTTCTCTTGCAGAACGACGCCATCAGTAACACTGACGACTGTCTCGTTATGTTCCTACTCAATGTCTGCCTTTCTCTTCCCTGCGCTGTCTCAGTCATCAGTAACGTGTGAGACAGTGCAAACAGAGCATGTGTTTTTCACCCTATGCCTTTAGAATAGTAGGCGAAAGACATATATTGTTTTAAATGTGCTCATGCAAAAGGAGTGCTCAGTGAATGATGGTTACATAACTGGCCAAATTATCCCCACCAGGCACACAAGTGATATGCATATTCAAAGCAATGCCGACTTTTAAAGGGGATGCACTCCAACAATGTGGCACATTTAGATACCCATCAATCTCTCTTATGGGGCAAATGGGCCACCTGGCTGAAGTGCCTCTTGCTTGCTGCAACAGGGGAACAGGCTTTTAGTCGGAGTCCTTCGGCCCCGGCAGGGCTCAAGGTCGCTTGGCAGAGCTGCTTGCCGGCAGCCCAAATCCTTCAATGATTAACAGCGGCAGACAGGACGGAGCAGCTGTCAATCCAGATCTATAGTCTCGGCCAAGAGAGCCGGGCCGGCAAACCGCCGCGCATTCCAACGCTGCTCAAGCAGGTAGAGCGGGGATTTATGAGCCCGCTGGAGAAATTCATTCCCCAATTCACCTGGAAAGACGGGTACATGGCATAATACTGATATTGTTCCCTCCCTCACTTCCCTCAAAAGAAATTAAAGAGAACAGAGGATGGGACGGATGAGGGGACGGGCTGGCTGGGTGTATAATGAGGCTGCGCTTCCATCAGATGGGCTGAGAGGGTGATACCTGTCGGAATAATATTTGCACAGCAGTCTTTTTTTGTATCTTTTGCTGTAAATCAATTGTCAACTCACTTTTATATCATTTTCATTTTCATGTCCAGTTTGTTCACTGGTCTTGAATCACATTTCAATAGGTTGAAATCGAAGCCCACGCAACATACAAGACACGCCATGCCGAGGCTACCAGTCTGGGAGGTTCAAGTCTCTGAAAGCCTTTCAGTCACTTGTCATTTGTAGTGACAAGTGTCCCAGTCAGGATGCTTGTACATATTATGCAGCAGAATAAAGTGACACATTCTGAAATCCTACAGTGAATAAAGGATGTTGGGGATATTGGGTTTGGGGGTCCTCCCTAAAGAAAATGTGGAGGTTTTTGACCTCAAAACTGCAATTTGACATCATTTGATTGACTTTATTATTTACAAATATCACAGCCTTTGTCGGAGCATTCTTCTGAAAATGTTTGAAAATCATATTCTGTAAATCAAAAGACCAGATACAGAATGGAAAACACTGGTGCTGCACCGCTGTGAATCACTAAGAGCACCTGATATGGAGAGGGTCAAAAGGAGTACCGGCAGCTTGGGAGAAGTACTGATGCGCAAGAAAAAGTCCCAGCAGGCCAAAGAGTAACAGGTAGACGTGCCGGTACTGCTTACAGGTGAGTACTGTCCCTCTTAGAGCACTGCTGGCAGCTAATGCTACTTCCAACTGGCCCCCGGGCTACACCCATTGGAGGGCAAAACAGTTGCTGAAGCCTTGTACTGTCTAATTTAAAGTGGCATGCGTCCATACAGCTTTATGATAAAATGCTAAATTCAGAAGAATGACCCTGACCCAGGAACTGAAGTAAACAGCAGCATTTTAGTTAAACATGTCCTAGAAGTGGCTAACAAGTCATCCAGCATACAGTATCCCATTTTCTGGGATATTTTTGATTTAGTATTCAAAATAAAAAATGAGAAACTTATTGATTTATTTCAAAAAAAATAACAGTAAAAAAAAAACAAACCTATAGATTCAAGTTATATTATATAAGCATTGTCTCTTTGCTATTTTGTTGCCTGCCACAACAATCCACCTTTCATCCTGCCCTTCTTCCTGATCCCTCTTCTCTTCCTCCTCCCGCCCCTTTTCTCCGGTATTATCAGTCTCTGAGCTCTCCGTGTCCTGAACGTACAATACCTCTACTCTCCTGTGTCGGGTGTTTCTCGGTCGGTTGGAAAAGCAGGCCTTCCTTTTTGTGTATAACAAATCTCATCTCGGAAAAATATTCATTTCACGGGTCGCTGTCCCATACAAGCCAATATCCGCGCAGGGAAAGGCATTAAGCGTTATTCCCTTCTCTATTCAAATTGGAAACAGCAAAGTGGGGCTGTGCCAAAGATATCGGCCTCCCGCTGTACCCGGTTTGTCCTTGCAATGAGGATGCAGCCACTGCTAACTATTCATTCTAGTCATTCACCAGCCGGTCTTATCATTGCTCTCCATAGACTTTGGCTTAACGACGTGCAAAGGCGACGTGTCTCACTTGTCTTGTTGTGTTGGACTGATGTGATCTTAATAACAGCGTGTCATGGTTTAATGATGCACACACCACACCCCATGAGGTCGAGTGCATCATGCATCGAGGGACAGGGCTACATTTGAAAACAGTCAATCTTGTTTCCTCATTTTAAAACACGTCAGCGGGAAATACAATATGTACACTGTGCATCGATGTATTGACGACGGCATCCCAGTTTTACACTATCCACATCTTAATTGTCTTTCTTAAACTCATCTGTATCAATCATTCAGTACATTTTCTCTGCGAGTAATTTAGAGTGAAATTCACTTATTGATTCAATATTGTTTTTTTAATTCCTCACCTGTCCTGGTTGACAATGGCATTAAATAACTCAAATATGTTTGTTGGAGTGTCACCAACCTGGTTGGTCAATGACATTTCACACTCAAACAAAAGTATTACACAAAAACTATTCCGTCTGAAACAGTCTAAAGAGGCATGAAACTTAGTTATAATCCGTCAAATGATGATGAAATTAAACCCTGTTTTTGATACTGTTCGTGGTCGACCTTTTGTTCATTTACATTCTGTAATCATCTGTCTGAACTCTGCAACAGTTTACATTGCCAGTGGCGGACTCCGCCATTCCTACATGGAATTGAAACTTACTTCCCTACACACGAGGGATTCACAAGAAACGATGCAGGCATGTATCCATCGTTACTATCTGAAATTCTAGCTCAGTGATATCAGTCTCACTGTTTATTGTTGCGAAACACCCGTTGGCTTTTATTGTGAAGCCACAAGTAACACATTGTCTTTAGGTTAGCACTGACAGCAATCAGTGCTAACCTCATTTTAAGGCATTTTGTTTTAGAGTGGATTGGTTTTAAATACTGCAGGGAGTAATGTAACAAAAAGGAGCAGCCACAGTGAGATGTTAGATGATGAGTTTCAGAACTCAGGCTGCACACTCATTATTTTAACGTCATCCTGCTGCTGTGTGGAAAAACTACTTGCAACATAAAATCATGAGATCTGCACGAAATCGGATCGCTGCTGTTAAATGCACGATGGAAAAGGGGCAATTATTGACTTTTATTATAAACATTTCTCAAAATAATAAAGTAGCCAAAAACCTAACATGATGCCTGGTAAATGCTTTTTTTTTTTTTTTCCATCCCCACTTTGTAATACTGTAAAAAAAAAAAAGTGGTCTACAAGCGCGAGCTAAGATACCCGGGTGATATATGCAGTAAATATCTATATTATAATTATATACAATTTTCTCAAAGTTGACACTGCTCCTCCAGAGGCTGAGAAGTGGCTACTAAATTGACTTTGACGTGTGAAACCAGTGGAATCCCTGGATTCACCTCCCTCAGTGTTGTTCACCAAGACTGTCGCAAATATTTTTTTCCCCCTTGAGTGTCTTGTAGTTCCGTCTGAATCGTGACCTCTTAACCTGCCACACAGCACAAACAATTACCAGTAATGCAGTACTGAAAACCTAGATATTGTTTTGGAGCAATTTTAAAAATCCTAAACCGACCAAGATCACACGCACTACTTTGACACACTGTACTGTATCAGTGGTGGTCGTGCGCTTCGCCTGCACAACGTCAAAACTGCTAAACTACTGTGACAGTAAATGTATCCAAGAGGAAATATCTTAGTCCATCAGACAAATCAAATCCAGAGATAATTTAATACTCTGTCTGTATTCCAGGCATATCTGGCTCTGCTTGCTGCCGGGATAATGGCTCCCCTAGTTTATCTGCTTTCTCTGATCTCATTTGCTGTTACGTTTCATACGTGGTTTGTGTAAACGGTGTGTGTTGTATGCAACCCATCGCTGAACACGGCTGCAGCTGCTCAAGGTGATACCACCCACAGTATTCAAGGGTCTCTCACAACTCGCTAATACAGTACATCTACATCTAGAGTGCGGCGCATCGATCCACTTCTCAGCTGGTCGTTCCACACTGGGGAATAAAGCAGCTCCATAGTGTTTGAATCATTTACGGCAGGTGGACCTGCGTCCACCTGCCGTAAATGATGGGTGGCACGGGTGGCTCTGTCATACTAGCAACATCCTCAGGCTATGAGAAGAGTGAAGTGCAAAGAGCGCCGTATAACCCACATGTATTGTTCATATCCCCAGCCGCCTGCGCATTGACTGGGTCAACACAGGGTTTGATGAATGACGCCTGGTTGGGCCCCGATAAAAACAATGTGCCGAGTAAGCCACGTCGTTCTGTTTGCAGTTTAGGGAAGCACGAGAAATTACTCTGAGCAGGTGATTACTTGGCTGAATTAAGCGGTGTGATGGATTTTCCCGACGGTAATAACACACCCAGCTAAGACAAATGTGTGAGCGAAAGCCCTCCGACTGCAAGAGCATAATAAAGAGGCAAAACGCACATGCAAAGGTCTGATGTACCGAGGAAACCTTGTGGTGGAAACTAATGGCTGAGCATTCATAATTCTTTCATGTTGCTTATGCCTTTCAGTCTATCCTCTTGCCATAACAGTTCACTTAGTGTGAATGCTGCTTCAGTCTTTACAGAGTGTGTCAACTTGGTGCTATTTGTCACACTTCTGACAACTGACAGTTGAGATTGTGTTTGGACCTAAAAACAGAAATGTTTGACATTTCCAATTTCTCCACTCGTTGTTTTTTAGTATACCTTAAAGCTACTACTTGATTCGACAAAACTGAACCGAAGCAGAATAAAACCTAATTTTGCTCCTCTATTTCACTCTTGTCTTTGACTGTAACTGTGACAGTGATAAGCACCGCCAATTTAATTATATCCACTCTCGAAGTCTCTTTCCTTTGTGGGCTCTTATAGTACTTTTATTTCACCAGATAGGGAATCCTTATGCATGGCGTTTAAACGAGCTGTATTTAACATTCTGAACATTAATATAGCAGCAGACAACTATTTACTACGTGAAGATATAGTGGAGCAATGTCTAGCTGAGCAGAGCACGAAGTCACTCTCCCTCTCTGTGTGTGTTGTTATCCGAGCTTCTCCTTGCTTTGTTGCCATAGCCGGGCTATGTTAGTGCATGTGAGCGTGCCACACTCATTATCTCACGGCCGTCAGCAGTGTACTGCTCTCATTTCACGTCTATTTGGTAGGGACAAATACATATACATAGAGAATGGCACAACAATTATCCCATGCGGCGTCTCACAGCATTTTTAGCTACTGCTAATTTCCAATGCTGATCCCTCATACGGCGGTTACAGCTGACCAGCAACGTTGTCGCGAAAGTGTAGCACCCCTCTCTGGTTCCCCCTCAGGTAAACACTGTTAGCTCTGTCACATTCGTTAGCCGTGAGCCGCCGGCTCGCCGTCGCCACGTTGAGAGCCATTAAGAGGAAATGTGGTGTAAAGAACATTGCAGCATAACGTCCATCTCACCCCCGATCCGCTCGATGAGAGCCAATCCTCGAGGCCTGCGTCTCGTGCAGTTTGTGATGAGCTTCGTAAATGATGTGTTTGCCTATTCAGAGCCCTGACTCAGCAGGCCGCTGCGTGGCAGCGGCCCAGTAGAAAGCCGACCTTCAGCACTTTGTCTCCGATTCATCTCAATCCTTAGTTCTTTAAAACACTGTGGTTGAATGTTTACGGCCAGGAGACATCAGAGGTGTAAATCAGGGGGGCCTCTGGCCCCTCCCCTGTGGCATCATCAAAAATATGATAAACGGTAAGCACATTCGGGAAGAGTTTCTCATTAGGAGACCTTTTTACCGTTGAGGTCACACCAGTGAAAGATGACAGGAAATTAAACAATAAATACATGCATGCACGGTCTCATTATTCCACTGCTGATGTGTTAGTTGTCGTACTGTAACTGATGTGTTTCGTCTTTCTCAATGTAATGGTTCATTAAAAAAAAATGCTCTCTTCAACTAAGACTGAAGTATGACCAGGTTGCCCTAAAGCCCTCTAAGTTAAGGCTTGAGACAGAAATTGCACTTCATGATCATTTAAAATACACATTTGTCATTCTGGGCTCTGGAACAAAAACCTCGTCAGTCGGCCTGCATTTGATTTGACATTTAGACATTGAAATGGACTTTTTCTTATTTCTATTACAGTTAAATAGAAATTCTGTGATTACTTGTTGATGTCCACGTTCAAAGCGTTCTGAAGGTCAATACAATACAAAAGAAGCCAAGGCTTAAATGGTGGCCTCCGGGTTCAAGGCACTGTTCGAACGTGAACACACAAAGTCCCTGGCTCTCGTCGGGCCGGGGTCATTCCCCATCTCTCTCGCCCTCTCATGCCCTGTCATCTCTGTACTGTGTACTCCCTTGTAAATGCATCAAAATCAAACCCAAAATGAGGTTCAATATTTCACTTCAGAACTAAAAAAACATTTTATATCTGAATTACAAAAGCATTCGCTGCTGATA